CCTGTGGGGAGGTTCTCCTCCATCCTTTAGTATTGCTATGAGTTGTAAACCCTGTGGGGAGGTTCTCCTCCATCCTTTAGTACTGTTATAAGTTGTAAACCCTGGGGGGAGGTTCTCCTCCATCCTTTAGTGTTGCTATCAGTTGGAATCATATTAGTAGTAATCTTTATAGGAGCAGATCACCAGGTCTTTCTCTTACAGAGCTTCTGGGTAGATTTGAACTTATCATAAAATCCCTGAGAAAGTTTAAGATGCTATTCAATGATGCTTCTTAATAAGCAAACTAATTCTGAGGTATATATACAATGGGCATATATATTACAGCTAAAATATAAATGAGCAATATAGCAAAATCTTAAGTCTTTTGAGTGTCAAAGCTTACTATCTATATAACTTGGTTTCCTTATCTAGTACACATGTTAGACCAACACTATACTAAACCCCAAATCTACTTATTAATTGCCTTAAATTATTACTGGCTATGAAGCACTGGACTACCACAAGGTTGGTGGTTCAAATTCACCAGCTGCTCCTTGGAAACCCCATACAAGGTTGCTATGACTTGGAACTGACTTGGCAGCACTTAACAACAACAGTGAATTCGTTTGACACAAAATATATAAGAAGATGCTAAAACTTTTTGATTACCTTTCCGAGGACTGGGGGAGGAACCCAACTTTTTGGTTAAAGAATGTACGTTTTAATTGTCTGACATAAGACTCATGAGATGGGTAACTATACACATTGTCACCAAGGTACTTCCAATCTGTTATTTCTGTTTATCCCTTTCTACTTGTCTTTTTAAAGCACATGGGGGCACATTCATGAAGATTCCATTGTTGTTAAGTGCCGAAGAGTTGGTTCTGACTCATCCTGTGTAGGGTTCCCAAGGTAATGGCTAATGAGTTTGAACCACCAACCTTACAGTCCACACCAACCTTGTAGTCCAGTGCATTAACCAACAACAACTCACCAGGACTCCCATATGAAGACTCTATAGACATACTCAAACTACCCGTGGATTTAGCTTACTGGGTAGAAGGGCTCAGGACCATATTCTCCTGGGACAACTTAGTCTTCTGGGTATGGACTATAATATTAGTCAAATCATAATTCATAAAGTTAATATTCTGTACTCTAGTTTGGTGGCAGCCCTTGGGATACTAAAATGTTGGAAGAATCAATCTGTAATACAACTATTCATCTCTAATCATCTGGAGTAAAAGAGATCAAAAGAAACCAAAGATTCACGGCAGAAACTAGCCCATAGAACTAACAGCCCATTCAATTCACAGCCTCTTCTAACCTGAAACCAGAAGATCTAGACATGTTTCCTACACGTAGCGTAGTGGTTACGAATTGGGCTGTCCCATAAAGATTTACAGCCTCGGAAATCCTGTACAGGGTCGCTATGGGTCGGAACCGACTTGACGGCACTTAACAACAACAACCTCACCATTGTGACTTGGGACACAATGTTGTTTAGAAGACATCTACCTGGCTAACCAATTGGAAAAGATCCTCATTTGTGCCCATTCCAAAGAAAGGTACCCCAAGAGACTGTGGAAATGATCAAACAGTATCATTAATATCATATGCAGGCAAAACTTTGCTAAAAATAATTCAAATAGCAGAAAAAGGCAGGGAGCTCCCAGAAATTCCAACCTGATTCAGAAGAGGGCATGGGACAAGGGATATTACTGCTGAGGTCAGATGGATTTTACTGAAAGCAGAGACTCCAGAAAGATGTTTACTTGTGCTTTACTGACTACGCAAAGGCATTTGTGTAGATCATACGTAACTATGGATAACATTGCAAAGAATGGGAATTACAAACTTCATTGTGCTCATGTGTAACCTGTACGTAAACCAAGAGGCAGTCATTCAAACAGAACAAGGGGACACTGAGTAGCTTAAAATCAGAAAAGGTGTGTGTCACGGTTGTATCTTCTTATCATGCTTGTTCAACCGGTATACTGAGCAAATAATCCGAGCATCTGGACTATATGAAGAGTAACTGAAGGTTACTGCACAACAGCTCATGTTGTGCAGATGATACACCGTGTTTTCTGGAGCATTTGATACACTTACTGATAACGATGAAAGATTACAATTTTCAGTATGTATTACACTTCCATGTAAAGAAAACAAAAATAAAATCCTCACAAATGGATCAATCAATAACATAATAAATGGAGAAAAGATTAACGTTTTCAAAGATTTCATTTTACTTGGATCCATAATCAACACTCAAGGAAGTAGCAGTCAAGGAAAGAAATCTGCTGCAAGGGACCTCTTTAAACTGTTAAAAAGCAAAGATGTCACTGTGAGGACTAAGGTGCTCTTAATTCCAGCCATGGTATTTTCTTCAATCACCTCATATGCATGTAACATCTGGACAATGAATAAGGAAGAGTAGAGAAGAATCAATGCATTTAAATCATGGTGCTGGTGAAGAATATTGAATACACCACAGACTGCCAGAAGGAACAAATCTGTTCTGGCAGAAGCACAGCCAGAATATTCCTTGGAAGCAAGGATATTCCTTGGAAGCAAGGTTGGCAAGCGTTGGCCTCATATACTTTGGACCTCTTATCAGAAGGGACAAGTCCTTGGAGAAACAACATCGTGCTTGGTAAAGTAGATAGTCAGTAAGAAAGAGAAAAAGACCCTGGAAGAGATGGAGTAACATAGTGCAACATGAACTCAAACATAACAATTGTGAGGATAGTGCAAGCCCGGGTAGTTTCCTTCTGTTGTACGTAGGGTTCTATGTGTTGGAACCTACATGACAGTACC